ACATGAAACTATAGTGCAAGTTACCTTCTTTTTAAATCCACTCACACACAAGTAAACCATTCTACAAGGTACCCGGGGGAAAAAGCAAAGGTACTGACTTGCAAATCAGGAATCCTAGTCACCCAACTTCTCTGACCCACAGACTCATCAGACAAGCAAAAGGACAGTGTTCTCTGTTGCATAAAACTCTATGGCTCTAAATGGTCACAAGTGTGAAAAGACTCAGAACTATCACAAAGCAAATACATAAGATTTCTGACATCATTATTAGCATGGTGGATACTTAAGAAGTGCTTGATAATTGCCAAAACTCAATATTTGTCATGTGAGAGTTGATTAATCTGAAGACAGTGCTTGACCCAGAGCAGCTTAAAAAATAACTCAGCCAATGGCTATTTTTAACTTTTCCTTCAATTATGCCATTTCATAATCAAAATGTTAGGTAGTATATTAAACAGTATCCTTATAGCCTCAAAGTTTAATCACTACCAAAAACAGTCCTGTAATTCTTAACCTGGAATCCACAGAGACCAAGGAGGTCCACAAATAAGCTTGTCAAGAACCTGAATCCCCAGAAGTCACATGCAAAAAATGTGGTTAATTGTCCTAGGAATGTCAGAAAATTCCTAAACCAGGACAATCAAAAGAACTAAGAACCACACTGTTTCTGGTCAAATTTACACTATAAGAGTTTATCGGTTTACTAATAATGCTTTAATTACAATCCACCTTCATGCCTTTTTTTTTTAAACAGGGGGAAAAAATTATTAGTCAAAGATTTACAGGGCTCAAAAAGACCAGTTTTCTCAATCACTTTTCTTACTAAAAACTACCGTCTGTACTATAACACTCACCAAATGCTTTTTTTTAAATAATTAATAGAAAAAAGTGAAACCTGTATTTTTAAAAATCAAAATTGTTATATTAAAGTAAAAAATAAGCAGAACTCATGTCTCAATGCAAAGTCAGATCACATTGGGTTTTTATGAATTTGGAACTAAACCTTACAAAACAAAAATAAATTTTGGGGAAGACTGCTGAAATTCTCATCTCAGCAGGTTGGTTTGCTAGGTTTTAATCAAATAAATCAACTCCTTGAGTAAGTTAACTACCGTTTCTTAAAACTGTTTATTTTACTGTTTAAATGATTAATTTTGAGAAGACAAAGGAATGTCACATTGTCAATGTAACATGTAAAGCTGAAATAAATTTATTTTTGACAAGGCCACAACTACATTTATTTGTTCCCCAAAATAACTCTGGTTCTTTATGACAGATGGATTAGGAAGGACCTCTTATTTGATGTACCTTTTAACCTATGTAAACTTAAGCCTTAATTGCTCATTTTTACAGACTAAAAGAGCTCTCAGTCCAGAAGAGAGAAAAAAGAGAATTCTAAAAATTCTAGGTAAATATAGAACTGGCAAGAATCAATATAACTCACACGTGCAAAATACCACTATTAGACTATTCAATAAAGCATTGTTAGTATAGCAGAATTTGGGGAATAATTTAAAAGTCATCAATAAGCAGTTAATAAAATTAAGGTCTAACCACAAGGTTCCACAAAGCTGCCCTTTAAAAAATGAGTCACCTCAAAAGATTAATCAATGTTGGGGGTAATGGAGGGGGAAAAGATCAAGGTATCTGCATGAGGAGGAGGAGAACAGCCTAACATATATACACATGTATACTAGTCTCCTTGGTCTTTCTGGAAAGATACACACTAAAAATAGTGGCTGTCTGGGAAGAGGACTGGAATAAATAAATGACACTTAATTTTCTCTATGTACCCTTTAGAATCTTTCAAATGTGCGCTATGTATCTATATGTATTCTCTAACAAAATAAAAGATTTGTTTTTTAATGAATTTATAGGTGGAATTAGGGATTACCTTTTAGCTCATTGGTTTAGAGATAATCTACTAAGTAGTAACAATATCAAAGTATAATACTCAACTCCCCTAAAACTTTCTTCAGAGGAGACTGAAACACATTCATTCATTCATTCAATCAATCAGTACTTCAGTGCCTTCTATGTGTCCTAGGTATTAGAGCAATGCCAAAGTCATCCAACAGACTCTTGTCTTCATGGAGCAGGAATAAAGAGAAATAGTTCATCACATAACTTCTAGCAGTGATAAGTGCTATAAAGAAGGGAGGGGAAGCTGGAAGCGGGAAGCGGTGTTGTAGCCTAGTTAACGCAGGCCTCTCTGAGGACATGACATGTGAGCCAAGAACTGAACAGTATGACAAAGCAAGCAATGCAATGACCAGGAGGAAGGCCCTGTGACTGGAACAAGCTTAGCTTCTTATTGTTCAGGGCACAGCAAAGGGACAGTGTGGCTGCAATGGAGGAACCCAACGAGAGAGGTGCAGGACATGACCTCAGAAGTAGGCAGTACCAGATGCGTGAAGGGTCTTGCAGCTAGGTAGGGAGGAAAAAGTCACAGTGTTATTCTAAGTGTGAGAGTTCTGAGGAGAGTGATGATCTGTCTTCTTAAAAGTAACACTAGCTACTCCTTAGGAGGAGACTAGTCCAAGTAGGCTAGACAACAAATTATGGAAATAAACAGTGGTTTCAGAGAGATGGGAAATGTGATTTAGGACAAATTTTCAAAGTAGAGCCTAGAGAATTTGCTACTGGATTAGATATGGGAATCTGATTGGGACAGCAACTGAACAGTGAATAGAAATTCAAAAAACGTTATATTTGTATTGTTCACTGTTAAGGTACTTTTATATACAGTATGCCATTTCACAACATAATATCCAAGTTTTAAGGCCCTAGGAAAGTTTTTTGAATGGGTTTTGTCTCCTCCACAAGATTTCTTCAAGTATCAAATGGTTGAAGAATTTGCAAATGTAAATAATGACCAGTTTGAGGTAGACAGCATCATAATTACCCAAAGACAGTATGTTCCTATAATTCAGGACAGAACAGCTACCACACCAACATTACCAGTATATTCCACAGAGAACCTTGCATTGTAGTTGACAGAGGAAATGGCAAACTTTTTTTTTTAATTTTATTTTATATATAAAAGCATGGGCACTAGGGGAAAAAAAAAATTCTTCCTTGGTACTGAAAACAGCTATTTTAAGCTCTAAATAGCATTAAAGTAAAACCACCTTTTATAAGATAAATCCCAAAATAAGGCATCTTTCATTAGAAAGATACTAACAAGATACTGTAGAATTCAGATTATACGTGAATTATCACTGTCTTGATTTAAACATTAAACTGTAAACACCTGGTGTAAACTAAATTATCATGTGCCAAATGAAAGGTTATTTTGAAATTAGGAAATACAACTTCAATTTACTGCCTTATATCATTTCCTTACGTTTACTAAACAAGGTTTCACAAAACCTTTCCATCCAAGGCTTTCACATTACTGTAGAGCATCTTCAGAACCAAGCAAAAACGGGAAAATGGGAAATCTTTAATTCATTATGTATTGGAGAATTATCCTGAATGTCAGTTTGCACTATGCAGTCAATAACCTGAAAAACACTAAATAAAATTATTAGAAATTTGGTGTACCTCCACCTCTCATGTTCAACTGTGGTCTCAATAAACATGAAAACTGGGGCCACTAAAATCACACTGTGAGGACCTTCCAAAGCATACAGCAATTAAATTGCTTTGGACAGAATCCGAGATAAATCCACAATACAACATATTTCACTCTATGTAAGGTTCACATTATTAGGTTCCAGCACACAATAACAATCTGTTCTACCTCTCTAACTTCTAAGAATTTCCACCTTACAAAACTTCTTATTTCTCTATGTCAAGCCACCTTATGGTCAGAAACACCCCCATCTCAGATATATTTAATAGCAACTACACGAAGCACACGCTTCATCTTTCATTCAACAGGTCATTCACTTCCCACTTAGTATGCATCGCCCCCAAAACCTCAGAACTACATTAAATATACATTCACCAGGTTAGAGCGAACAAAATGCTGCTGCAATCTAGTCACTTCAACTCGCACAGTGAGCAACACAGAGGTTTAACTAATCTTACGTTCATTAAAACTGACAAAAAATAATGTCAAGGTTTTGTTTTCGTGGATTCCAAGAAATATTTCGCATCTAAGAACTTGACATTATGTAAAGAATTTACAAAACCAAGATGTAGAATATTAATGGTTCCATTATGTGTGTGTCAAAGTACAGTGTACATAGAGCCGAAGAACGGTTTAATAATTAAAGCGCACAAAATCAAGAGACAAAAGATTTCACAAGGTCCCCCATAGCAGCGCCCCCATTTCCAGAACATAAACACTTCGTAAAGAGTGTGCCAACGAGAGTAAATCACTTCGCGCAGATAACCAGCGAAAATGTATTTAAGGGAGAAGAGATCGCGGAAGCGAGAAACGGCGGGACAAGGCACCCCAAGTCCCCGGGCACCGGCAGCCAGAGACGAGCTGTGCGACCGGCGGCAGGACGCGCGGCCCTCCTGGAGCCGCCTCCCGGGGCAAAGGGCCCCGCCCGGCCTCACCCTCCCGGTTCATTCATTCTGAACCCGGGGCTGCTGCATCCCCGCGCTCCTGCCCAAGCCGGGGGAGCGCTCCGGGGGCCGAGGGGCCACGTCGGGCCACAGCCCCCGCCCAGAGTTCCGGCCCTGCCGCGATACCCGCGCGTCCTCGGCCTCCGCCCGGGGGTGGTCAGAGACGCCGCGGAGGCCCGCGCCCAAGACCTCAGTCCCGTAACCCCGCGGCCTCACCATCGGCCAGGACGCAGGCCAGGCCTTCCCTACCCGCCGGGGAGCCCCCGATGCCCACCGCCCGGCTGCCCCCCGCGGCCGGAAGTCTCCCCAGAGCCCCCTCCCCAGCACCGACTTCCCTCGCCGGCGCGGTCAGACCCTCTCCGCTCTGCCTCGGGCCTCCCAGGGCGGGCCGCGGGCCGTAGGAAACGAGAGACCGAGCCACCCGAGCCTCCGAGCGGGAAGAGCAGAGTAGAGAGCCGGAGGCCGGACTGGGCGGTTACCTTGATAATCCTGCGGGGCAGCCCGGCCATCTTGTCAGATCCCGAGTTCGGCCTCTGGTCTAGTCTCAGGCTTCGCTCGCCTCACGCACGAGTGGAAGTCCCGGGCTCCACTTCCGGGGGACGCTACCGCGCCGCCGCCGCCGTCGCCACCGAGGCCCCTCGGGAAATGTAGTCCCTGTTCGAGCGCGGGCGGGCTTTCCTCGGACCTGCCCCCTCCCCCACGCTGCGCGCCCCAGCCCGGCCTGTAGGCGGCGGAAGTGACGCGCCCCGGCTGGGCAGTAACTTGGGGGAGGCAGAGTAGGCAGCGCGGGGCTTCGGCGTTCCTGGCCGAGCTTCACGTGCGTTGGTGGGACTGGGAGTCTCGCTCTCCGAAGGCGTGCTTATCCGCGGCCACGCCCGCTCTCGTGGGCGACGTAACAGAGGCCCGGCAGCCGACGTAACCTATTCATTCATTCGTTCGTTCATTCAACGTTCCAGCGTTGCGCGCAGCTGGGGCTGGCGCTGCGGGAAACTCCGTCCAAATTGGTCTTCTGGCTCCTTAAAGGGAGGGGAAGACCGAAACTCAGTAGCCAAGCTCCTACTGTGGTTCTTGCAAATTATCCAGGAAAACCTAGCCGGAGTTTTGACGTTTAAATTTCGCATAAATCTGCCCTCTTTGACACACCCTTTAGAATTGGGGAAGGCTAAAAGGAAGAGTTTGGACAGCAGATCATTCACCAGCAATTCTGACTTTTTTGGTTTTGAGACCCTTTTGAATTCTTAAAAATTAAGGATTACAAAGAGCTTTTGTTATGCAGGTTATATCTACAGATATTTACCATTTTGGATGAGGGGAGTGGAAAGGGGGGCGGGGAGAATGTGTTATAAATGCCTGGATCAGGCGCAGAGTTGCTAGCTAGAGGAATGGCCAAGGAGAGGATCAGAGAGACCAGAGTAATCCCCGAAAGAGGGATTACCATAGAGTGCGGGGCCCTAAAGGAGGATTGGAGTGGCAGTGTCTGAAAATGGGATCGTTGGGGAAGCAAATCCTGACATCCTGAGGACTGATTGCTTGCTATTCGACGGGCTTTTTGCTGGAATTATTTTACTTCATCTTCACAGCAATCGTGAACAAAGTGTTGTCTCCACTTTACAAATGAGGCCGAGACGTTAACTTTCTCCAAAATTATGCAGGAGAAAGTGAACTGTTTTGTTCCCAGGCAGATCTGTCAAAACATGGATCCCTGAACTGCTTCACCACAGTGTTTCCCTAGCACAGTAGCACAGACAAAAGGTGGTGAAGGAAGGTGTGCCATGTGCTATGTTAGGGGATGAGAATGCAAAAATGCTGACCCTGCCTCCCAAGAATTTAGAGGCCAGTGGAGAAAAGAGACAAAGAAACAATCACAATCCAATGTGTTAAGGGCTATAATGGAGTTTCCTTCAAGGTGCTGTTTGAGCATGAAGAGGCCATAAGTGCTTGAGAAGTCAGAGGTTTCCCAAAGAGAAGTGGGGTCCTACAGGATGAGTAAGAGTCTAACTGACTTGGTAGGGAAGAGCATTTCAGGCATAGGAAATAGCCTGTGAAATGGCACTGAGCTCCAAGAAAGGGGAAAAAAGTTTATTAAAGAAATGGAGAATATGAATGTGAGAAACCTAGTAAGAATAAATACTAGAAAACATTATGCGCCAGGCTTGATGCTAAAAGATTACATGGATTATCTCATTTATTATAAAGCATATAAATCGGGCTCTCTTATTATCGGTGCTTTTTAGTTGAGAAACCAAGCCTCAGAGGTTATAATGAGAACTTCAAATAACCAGAAATCTGAGATGAGTGATTCTGTGATCAGAAGAATCTGGCAAAAAGAAATGATACTGGACAGGGATACTTCTCAGAATATTTTAGAAAGGGCCCAGGAGAAAAAAGGCACAGCAAATATTAAGTCAGAATGTGTTATTCAAGATATTTATTGTTGCCTAACAAAGCAGCTCAAGCTTATTGCTTAACATGACAACAGTCATTTATTTAGCCCTTGAATCTGCAATTGGGCAGGACTTGGCAGGGAAGGCAAATCTGTGCTCCATGCTGCATCAGCCTGGGCAGCCAGACAGCCAGGTCCACTTCCAAGGTGGCTCACACAGTTGTTAGGTTGGTGCGGGCTGTGAGTTCCTCTCCAAGTGAGCCTCTCCCTGGGGCAGCTTCAGCTTCCTCACTCTGTGGTAGCTGAGTTCTGAGAGTGAGTTTTCTAACTAGCAAAAGCAGAAGCAGAACCATCTTTTTGACCAAGCCTTGGAAGTCACATAGCATTACTCCCTCCATACTCAATTAGTCAACTAGTCCCAGAAGCCCACCCAAGTTTAAAAGATAGCCGGCAGACTCACAGAACCCAAGAATGGACTAACAGTTACCAAAGGGAAAGGGATTAGGGAGGATGGGTGGGAAGGGAAGGATAAGGGAAAAAAAGGGGGCATTATGATTAGCAGACATAATGTAGGGGGGCACAGGGAGGGCTGTACAACACAAAGAAGACAAGTAGTGATTCTATAGCTTCTTACTATACTGATGGACAGTAACTATAATGGGGTATGTCAGGGGGACTTGATGATGGGGGAGGTCTAGTAAACATAACATTGCTCATGTAATTGTAGATTAATGATAACAAAATTTTAAAAAAAAGATAGTCAGCATGGACTCCACCTCTTAAAAGGGGAGTGGTGAGATTGTAGAAACTCGCAGAGTATATGTAATGGAAGATATGGTTGGGGGCAAGTTTGGAAAACACAGACTGTCACAGGTAAGACATTTGTCAGAGTGTGCTTATAAACCAGCTGCCTTAGAATCACCTGACTCTAAGTGCTGGTTGAAATAAGCATTCTTGGAGCCCTTCCCTCAGAGATTCTAATTTTCTAGGTCATTGCTGAGACCTGGGGACCTGCATTTAAAGATCATGGGTGATTTTCATAGTTTCTAAAATTTGAGAAAAGATTTTGAGTACACAAGAATAAAAACGTATAAACAGAAAATGTTGCCTTGTGCCTTCTTTTTGGCTGTTCTTTGCTAGAATGGATAATGAGTGGCATGCAGATTAAGGGTGAGCACTCTGGACCACCTGTCCAGGTTTGAAAACTTACAGTTTGCTTAATTTGCCCTACATTTTCTTCACCTATAAAACATATATACTTCATGTGATTGTTGTGAAGTTTAAATGAACACTACATAGCCCTTACCAAGGACTATTATTTCTGTAATTGTGATAAGGCCAGATTTAGTTTTCTGCAGGAGATTTTCAAAACTAGACAGTGTAACTTTGTTTGGCACACATTGGTTTGATGGCATGAAACTCTCTTAGAATATGAACACCTTTAAGATATATTTTTTTGTGTTTCTTTTAGTTGTTTTTCCCAATCTTTTCCCCCTGGAGAACAGCTCACCCTATAGTTTTCCAGAAAATAAAATCTGAACTTCTGATTCATGTTAAGTCCTGTAGAACAGGATATATTCTAGGACAGGTTGCTACAGGACCAAGATGAGCTTAATTCTCAAGTTAGGAAGTTGTTAAGAATCCTACTTACTATAGCCATAAAATATGGGTAAAGTAGGGATATCCACAAAACTAATTGAATCGATTCCTTCAGGGGAGAGGTGTTGGGCAGCTGAAGAACAGAGGCAAGGACTTTTCACTCTATGCTCTTGGTCCTTTTGGATTTTGAATCATGTGATATGTTCCCTATTTAAAATATAAAATAAGGATTTAATTTTCTAATTTCCATCTAAGAGGAATTGAAAGTTCTTTCACCACTGATCAAGAATGATCAAACCCAGCAAAAAGATGCTGGCCTATGGTATTGAATACATTATAGTGACCAGATAGCTTCACTAAGCTGAACTTTTCAGCTAATTAATCTTATTTGGCTCTTCATCAGGCCTTGCTCCAGTCCATGTTTTCTTCTAGGCTCTGCTCCTTCCAGGACTCAAACTGCAAGTATCTTTGCATTACAATATGAGGAAAGTATGAGCAAGAATGCTGTGTTGGTGAAATTATAGGAATCCTTTACTATACAAACCTCTAACTCCCAGAATGGTACTTTCCTGTTCCTTCCCCACCCCTCAGCCCCAAATATCCCAGGTTTGCCACTTTGGTCCTATAAATAGCAGATGCATAAGTACTATTTATGGAGGTAATACCTTAGGACATCCATACCTGAGCTCCTCAAGTCATGGATCTCTTCTATCTTGGTCACCACTGTATCCCTGGGGCCTAGTGCAAGGCCTGCCACATGAAAGCTCTCAGAAATATTTGTCAAGGGAATGAATACTGCAGGCTGAAAATAAACACCTGTTTGAAAACGGTTGCCATAGATTCATGCTCCCTAAGTGAATGCTTACAGAAAGCACAGGATGTTTATGTTCATCCCTAAACTTTTCAAGTCGACTTCCTGGAGGACAACAGAACTTTTTCACAAACTCTCGTTGTGCTTTGAAGAGACAAAACAGAGTAGCTAAGTTGCAAAAGCGGTAGATCAGTCACCTTTAATAGAGACCCTGTTTCAATTCATGAGCAATAGTCATCAAGCAGAAGAATTTGTTTACAAGTATCCCTATTATTACTTGCAGCATAGGAAAACTGTTTCATGCATAACGAAGACGGAAGTATCTGTGGGAAGAGGGTTCATGAACACTGACTCAGGAAGTGGGTGGGGGAGGAAGAAAAGGCTGCATACTAATTTTTTAAAAAAAGAATAAAAGAAGTGCCTGCTGCCTCATATTCATGACTTCAGCCTAAATCACTGAGCACTTACAAGCTGTTAATCAACACAATACCAGCCTGTACAAAGGATCTGAGTAAGAGTCATCCAAAGTCATAGGAGCACTATCTTCAGATGGAAGGCCTTGAGAAAGATGAGACCAGACTGAGGAGAACCAGAGTATAAGGCTTACCCTTGTTTAGTGCTTTATACTTTTCAGAGCATGTTATCTCACCCAAGGAGAGTCTTTAAAGTGCATGTACCACTAGAGGCATTCTGTAGAGCCAGCCCATCATTGATTCCACCATGTTCCTATAAAGGTAGACAGAGGGGGGATTCCTTTCAATGGACCAGTTACCAGTGGACACAGGATTCCAGAGGATGGTGATTCAAGACAGTTGGCCAGAAGCCTGGCTAGAACAGGAACTCTGAAAGCAGGGTTCTTTACCCTGCC